GGTTGTGGTTAGCTGAGACTGTGTCATTGCATTTCCAGCCTGGGCAACAAGAGCTAGACTCTGTTTCGAAAAAAAAAATTGCTGTTTCCAAGAGTAGAAGAGATTGCAAGTGAGTCATCTTCCAGGATTCCCTGCTGGGCAATACAAACAACAGCAACAACAAGGGCAATGGCTGCTACTTGTTGAACACTCCCCTATGTGCCAGGAGCTGTTCTAAATCTTTTAAACATGCATAAACCTATTAAGTCCTCAGAACAACCTCATAAAGTAAAACCACGACTATCTCCATTTTATAATGGAGAAACTTGGGGAGAAAGTGAAATGACTGATCTAAAGCGCCACAGTAGAGCCGGGATTAGAATCTGAGGCAGTCTATTTCCTAAGTCCTTGCTGTTAATGACAGTGCTACATTGCCAGGCCTGTTGAATCTACTTGGTCAGTGAATGGGAAAGACCACCCCTGCAATTTCTATTTGTGGGAGGCTGAGGGATACCTTGGAAAGGAACATAAGGTGGATTCTGTTGGGATTCAAGCCTGAGTAGATAATTGTCTATTTGTTGCTCTCCTCTGATAACCATCACTCCTTTAGAACAAGAGCCATGTCTACTGTGTCCACTATTGGATTTCCAAGGCCTAGCACAATGCTCGGGGCGTAGCAGGTGCTGAGTAAATGCCCAGTGACTGAATGAATACAAGAATCTACTAATGAGTGAGTGTGCTTCCCATTGTTTAGAACACAAAACACGGGGTCTGACATAAGTACAGTGTGATCAAGGGCCAAATCTATTACATAGTCAGCCGAGACTCTGAGAACCTAAAGGAATATCTGGAGGAATCAGTGGAGCTTCCTGAAGGAGGGAGAACTTGTGCTAAACTTGGAAGGCAGAAGTAGCTGGAAGGAAGGCCTTACGGGAAGGAATAAGCTGAAAGCTCAGTGTTTGCATGCTCTGGCCCAAGATGTCACAGACACTTCCCCTGTAGAAAGGGACCACAGGATAAATGAATTGAACAGACAAACACTTTCTACTTGGCCTGGGACTGGCTGGAGCTTTTTCTTCCTTCCACCTTTGGCGCTGAATTGTCCCCTTGTGTGGGCCAAGGATGCCTGCCCGTCTGCTCCTTCTCCCTGTCCCCTTATCAGCAGAAGACGAACTCCACAGAGCTCTCCTGTCAACTGAAGCACAAACCATTCCCTTGTAGGGCAAAGGCTTGTGATTCCTTGTAACAATATTTAACAATATTATAAAATATTTCATAATTTATGTATTTGATTAAAAACTGAAACCTGTGCCAACAGCCTGCATACTCTAACATATTGGGATCATTAGCTACTTGTGTCACTCTTCTGTTTTAAAACTTTCCATATTTGAACTCATGGAAGTACATCCTTCGCATTTATTAAACTTTTCCCATAAAAACAGTTTAGTAAGTCTCCATCATCTTTCAGAGAATTAAAAAAAAAAAGAGACCATAATAAAACCCTCTAGACATTTCCTTCAAGGAATATCATTTTATTTAGGCCTTTAAAAACATTTGCCTTATCTTGCCAGTAATTAAAAAAAATCAAGACAAATGAGAATTTTAGTGGGATTATAATTACTTCAAGATGAGCTGTGGCATTTGGCTTCCCTCCTGGCTCTGCTCTAGCTCCACCCAGGCCTCCTGTGAGATTCCGTTTCCCAACCCTGAACGGTCTTAGTCTCTTGGATTCCTTGGGTCAGCTCTCTTCTGACTTCTCCAAGATTGCTCCTTCTCTGTGCTTTGCTCCTGTTGCTCTCACAGGGACTTTTTTTAAATAAAAGGGATTGCTTCATTCAATTTGGGTGTCACTCTTTTCTAATCTCTCCCCCTTCCCCACAGTGGTCAACCCATGATGAAGGCATTGCCAATCAGAGTACCCTGCCCTCTGGGCACAGAGATTGGTCAAGGGATAAGCACGTGACTAACCCTTGTTGGCCAATCAGAGTCACCCCTGGAAATCCCCAGAAAGAGTTGCTCCTTTTTCACTTGGCTCACTGGCTCCAAGGACAAAAGTAAGCCCAGCTGCCACTGGTGGCTGTGTTTGTGACTGTCTGTATGAGCCTGTCTAAGAATAAGGCTAATGTGAAGGAAAACAGAAGAGAGATGGCGAAAAGAAACAGAGACTTAACTTGCAATTTGAACTACTGCATCCAATTATTTCTGAAGCTGGCCCTTCTCTTGTACTTTCTGACTAGAAAACAGATTCTACAATACAAATCCCTTCTCGCCTTTTTTAAAGGTTTAAACCAGTTTGAATTGGACTTCCCTAACTTGCAACAAGGAAGACCTGAATGATATTGCTTCTGTCTGCACGTCCAACTACTTTCATTTTTCAAGAAGCAGTGTTGTACTGGGGTTAGAACAAAGGACTACTTTATGCTGATCGTTGCAGTTTCCATTATTAGAGAACCAACGAAATCAGACCAGGAGATCATTTTGCTTTAAAGTAGTAGCATCTGACCTAAGGCAAGTAACAGTTGAGAAAAAGGAGAAAACACATTTCTTCCTTCAACAGCGTCATCTCCATTCTTGCAGAGAGAGATGTGAATGACCAACAGCCATGCCGTTGCATAGTTTCATCTTTCATGTAACTTTCTCATATTTGAAGCCAAACATTTGGAGCCCAAGCCTGATAACCCAGGGAGTCAAGCACTCATGTCACTATTGTTTGTGTCTCCATGGTACAGGCTTGATTGAAAATTGCTAAGACAGTATTTTTAAAATGTCCTCACCACAAATGATGGTAACTCTGTGAGGTAATGGATATGTTGGCTTGATTGAACCATTCCACAATATATACATATATCACAATACCATGTTATAGACCATAAACATATATAATTTTTGTCAATGTAAACAAATCCAAATAAACTAGGAAGTGTAATGGCTTCAGAAATGTGTAATTCACCCAAGCTACAATATGAAACATCTTGGGTATCAGTCACACATTGTTTTTGTTTATAATTGACAAAATCTCCACTAATGAAAAGCTATAGGTTAAAGAAATATATTTCAAAATGAAGAAACGTACTGCCCTACATAGAAAATAAGAAAATCAATTGTCTCCTATAGCAAGCATTCTGGAGGTTAGTTCACTGTCTCTGTGACATAACTCAGTATCTAGGCTCTGTTTAACTCTAAACTGCATCATGGAAACCTTTTGACTTGGTTCGCTTGTCTCCTTAAGGTTCTAAGATGGTTCCAACACAACAACAGCCAGATTAAGAAGGAACTCCTTGAGAGATGGCTGATTTAAAAGATGTGGCAGGAAAAGTACAAGATGGATATGGAGCATGTTATTGTGCCAGATGTAAAATGTGTTTAAAGAATGATGGAACATGTCCAAAGGACATAGCAACCAGTTTGAAGGAGCTTTCTTTGGCCATAATTTGGGACAATTTGAGCATTAAAATAAATAAGGATGTAGAGACTTAATAAACAATTTAATAAAATAGAAATCCATAACTCCAAACTTATACAAATAAGTGAATTAATAAACAGGGAGAAGACAGTGCTTTTCCTTATAGTAGAATGCTCATAAACACTAAAGAAATGATTTAATTAGAAAAACAAACACTTGGCAACTATCATAGTAATAATTAGTTCGATCAGTAAACATCAATGAATACTAAGAAGGAGTGGGTGGAATTTTGATGAAGAACAGGATATTGACATAGTCTCAAAGTCCCTAAAAATACTTATTAAATACAAAGGACAAAAGAGTGACTTTACAATGGAAAAATCTGGCTGATACTGGCATTATCAAGTGTTCAAAACTGATATCAACACTAATGGAACAAATCAAAATCCTGTATCATCTGATTGGAGGCAACAGAAAGAAAACATCACTTCTGTGGTATTTCTACTGAAAATGCATAACCTGAATCTAATTTCGAGGAAATAAGTGACAAACCCAATTTAATGGATATTTAACTCAACAAGGTTAAATGACCTTTAAGCTTCTTAGATGTCAATGTCATGAATGTTCCTGAAAGACCAAATAACACTTCAAACTGAAGACTAAAGAGACAAGATAACTAAATGGAATGTGTGATCTTAGATTAAATATTTTTGTTATGAAAGACATTAATTGGGACAGCTGGTAACACTTGAATGGGATCTGGACCAGGATTACCTGGTAGAAACACATCAGTGTTAACTTTCTCATTTTGGTTGTTGTATTATGGCTATGTGGGAGAATGTCCTTATTTGTAGGAATTACACACAAAAATATTCAAGAGTGATAAAGCATTGTGTCAGCAACATACTCCAATGGCTCTCTGTTCTCGTCTTGTAACTTTTGTTGTAAGTTTGAAATTCTATCAAAAGAAAAGAAAACAAAAACAGGGCTGTTTACTGCAGTTTTCTCCTTTCATTAAGGAAGAACACTTTTCTAAGACCCTCCCAAAGCAGAAGTCCCAGTGGCTGGTAATGGAGGCACATGGACTTTCTCCAGCTGCAGAGGAAGCTGGCAAAGCAATTTACATAAAGGAGAGTGGGTTCTTCCTACAAGGAAGAAGGAAGTGGGTGGAGGATGGCAACGTGTAGGCAGCCAGCAGTTTCTGCCTCCATCTGAAATTTTTATATTTGACTTTGGCCATTTTGGAACACAGTGCCATGAACAAAGATGAACCATCCCAGAATTCCAGGTTGTTTGTTCTTTCATTTAGTGGCCAGGATGTGTACTAAATTAGTTTGGGGGAAACAAAGATAAATGATTATTCTTAAGAAATTCATAGTGGAAGGCTTTTGTGAACCAATAATTATAGCCCAATAAAAGCCATAGAATAATTACTGTAAGCCTGGGGAATTATGAGCTTACAGATAGTTGTTTGGGCACCTAAAACACACCAAGAGGAGGGTGAGGCAGGAAAGTCTTTCTAGAGAGTGAGAGGGGTGGGATGGCAGCCCCTCTTCCTGCTGACATGGGAGATAGAATCATGCAAGAGTTAATGTGGATCTTTCCAATTCTGGTACAGAATCCCACTCAGCGATTGCAGCATGGCAGAAGCAGCAATTAAATGCAGTGTGGGGAATCTAAGGAAAGGACACAGCCTGAGTGATGGACAGAGGTGAGGAAAGCAGGGGTGCACACAGTGACTGCAAGCTGACCATTTGGCTTCTGAAAGGATAACAGGAAGGAAGGAGGGTTGGGGCAGGAAAAGTAAGAAATTTGATTGCAAGGTGAAATCGTTTCAATTTTTTTCTGTGTGTGCAGCAGGGAACCCCTGATTGTTCTTGAAGAGGGGAGTGCAAGATGAGGACTGTGTTTCTGAGCAATTCGTCTGAAAGCAGTGGGTAGAGAGGGTAAGTTCCTGTCAGGAAGACTTGTCAGTCTGAGTAGAAAATGTTCAAGGTAAGACATGACTTTGGGGATAGAGGGAAAAGGAGGATGGAGAGAAGAGACTAGACTGATTTGAGTGCCAGAGATGATTCAGGTGCTCCAAATGCAAGGGTGAGTGTCATTAATAGACATGAGAAAGGCAGAAATGGCTCTGGGTTGTGCCCCATGGGGACTATTATGGGAGATCACGCCTACCCATGATGGTGTGACCCACTGGACAAAGTCAACCAGGCACTGTGCTGGGGTTTCAACAGAGATGAGATCATGTATCTCATGATCTCCCTATGCAGCAATCACCAGCCCTTGCTTAAAGCTGTTTGAAGGCTACCCCTTGCTCCTAGGACAGAGACCAGTCTTTTGCATTGCCCCCAAACTGGAGCAGGCTAGCTCTGCCCACCTCTCATGCCCCAGGCCCACCCTCCTCACCATGCTCTGTGCTTCTGCCACACCAACCTTCTTTCAGTTCCATCCATGGGCCAAGTTCACACTGTATCTCCAATACCAGCAAATAGGTGTTGAATAAACTGGTGGGGCTTCTACCACAGGGCCTTTGCACATGCCATTCATATATCCATCTTTAACCATTGTCCTTTCCCACTTTGCCAATTTCGAAGCTACCCATCCTCTTTTTTTTTGAAACAGAGTCTCACGTCTGTCACCCAGGCTGGAGTGCAGTGGCATGATCACGGCTCACTGCAGCCTTGACTTCCTGGGCTCAGGTTATCTTCTAGAGTAACTGGGACCATAGGTATACCATCATGCCAGCTAATTTTTGTATTTTTTTGTAGGGATGGAGTTTTGCCATGTTGCCCAGGCTGGTCTTGAACTCCTGGGCTCAAGTGATCCACCTGCCTTGGCCTCTCAAAGTTCTGGAAATACAGGCCTGAGCCACTAGGTCTGGCAAGACTACTCATCCTTTATAGCCCAGTTCAAGTGTCACTTTCCCAGGGGCACCTCTCTCGATACCTAAGTCCAGTTTACTTGTATTATAGTAACACAAATCTTCCTTGTATAGTATGTACAGTAGGAGTAATTTTGCATTGACTTGTGAGAGTATTTGCTTGAGGCCTATCTCCCCCACAGATTGTAACATCTATGGGTGTAGGAGTCACTGTTGTTTTTGTGCATGCTGTATCTCCTATATTCAACATGGGAATTGGAACTGTGCGGTGCTCACTGAATATCTGTGGAATGATAAATGAATGCAATGGGTGAATATTTTGCTGGTGCTTCAGGAAAGCGCCAGAGAAGCAGATTATGCTTGAGAAGCACCTTATAGGATGAACAGAATTTCAACAGCCAGAGTTGGCCTTCAGGTAGCCAGGCCACGACTAGCAAAAGCACAGGGAAGGGCTTGAGCAAAGGGAGCTTCTGCATGTTTAGGAGGAATAGGAGAATAGAAATCTAGGGAAATAAAGGGCTCTAGGGCCAGAAAGACAACAAAGCCAACTTTTAGAAAGATACAAACATCCAAGTGAGGACTTGGTTGTTAACTTGGCAGGCAGTGAAGAGCCATGGAGACTGAGTGAAGGAAATGACACTCTTGAAACTTCTCTTTGAGAAGATGAACGTGACTAGGAAACTGAGGGTGACTAGAGAAAGGAGCTGGGAACAGAAAACCACTGCCTTGGGAGGATATAGCAATGGCTTTGGTTAAACTTATAAAGCACATGAATGGGGGTTTTGTAGGTAAGAGATGCTCAGAGCAAAGTTTGAATGGTGAGGTTAAAGAAATCTGGCAGCTGATGAGAAAGTTCTAGAAAGAAAACCACTGATGACCAGACTGTAAGCTCCTAGGACTTGTGTCTTTTTCATCCTTATACTCCCAGTAGAAAAAGACATGTTTTTGTTAGAAATTGTGGGAAAGAAATTAATATAAGGGCTGAAAATGTTCAGAGAAACCACAAAAGGGAGATAAAATTTGGCCTAAAGACCTATTCTACTTGGCTCATTCAGTGTTTAGTTGGCAACATTAAAAATTGAGATTTCTCATAAAAGCGCCATTGTTTAATTTTTTAGATTAATTTTTATTGAAAACATTTTAATTTGATTGTTTCAGTATATGAAAAAGTGCTATATTTTTAAAGACCTGCCCACATTAGTCACTATGTCCCATGTGGCACCTGTTGGTGGAGGTTAGGTGGCCCCTGTTTGGCGGCTCCCCAGTACTGGTCTTATTCCCAGAGGGGTTCATTCACTATCTTCCTGGGCTCTGAGGGCAGCAGAGTCAGGTCCCTGGCTAAAGAGAAACTCATCAGTTCCCAGCAGGCCACTTTTTCATGCACCATAAAACATGACACCTTTGTTACATTAGTGATATGGAACAGGCAGATGGGGTGTGGGATTCTGTCCCAAAGCCTCCACTCCCAGTGGAAGCATGATGACATACATTGATAGAGAGGCTCATTAGCATTTTACTGTATTTTCTGCCATCACTGGCATTCAGGGTTGTGGGGTTAAACAGATGTTGCAAAATCATTGCCAAGGTGTAAACCATTAGATAAGGGTGTATGTAGAATTCACAAAATTTTATTGATATGGTTATCATGCCAAAAAGTTGTTTATTTAAAATTCAAATTCCACTTGAAAAAGAGGAAACAAGCGATAGTTGGGATCCCAGCCTGCTCCTGGTGGAGCTCCCATGTCCACAAAAAAGCACGCACATTCTATAGCTATGCAATTTGATCACTTAGAATTGCATTCTGGAAAACTACTCCCAGAACGCCCTTGCAGAACGCCATTTGTGTCTTTAGTTGGTTGTAGCTGGGAAACAACAACAGAAAGAAAAAGAACTCCATCCTAAGATTTCTTAGAATATTTCTGGTTTTGAAACTACTGACCCACAAAGATCTACCACCACCCAACCTAGAATATATATATATATTCTCACTGAAAAGCAAATCACTGTTTATGTCACTTGCTCACTGTCACGTCAGACCCTTAGGATGGTCTCAGTACACCTGGTTCTCCTTCTTGGTGGGATCTTGTGGATTCTGGCTGTGGGTGGGCAGCCCTTCAGGAGCGTTTGGACTTGCTGCAGGTTGGGCACAGAAGCTGACCCTTGGTGACGATGTACGCCCGGCCACTCAGCAGCTGCTCACAGCCCTCACAGACAAAGTGCTTTCGGTGCCAGGCCAGGTCTTCCACGCGCTGGTAGTCCTCGGAGAATATTATCTGGGGAGGGAGCAGGAGAAATGCACGACTCAGTTTCTGTCCCTAGGTAGAGATGGTGTACTAGACAAGTTACAGGGTGGTGGTTCATCCTATCCTATTCTTGTTGTGACTTTTGAAAGCCTTAGCGGAGAAATCTGGCATAAATTTGAGGCAGTAAAGATAATATTTGGTGAAGGTTGTGGTTGCATCTTAGCCTCTCAGATGGAATACAAAAATCCTTCCCCGTGGGCAGGTTTTACTTACCTAGCATCTGTGATACTCTCTGGGCCAAATCTAAAGTTTAGTTCTGAGATGGGATTACACACTCTGGTTAAGAAAGCTTAAGGATAGATAAGCTGCCAATGACCAGTCGTCAAGAGCAAGAATACAGAGGGTCACTTGGGCTTGGAATGAAGGGACACTTGGAATAGATATATGGTAAGGATCCCCTGAGACTCAGGAAGTGCAGAGGAGCATAATGGTTAATGGGCCTTCTAATACCGGAGTCAAACAGGAACTGGGTGTGGGTTTTCACTTAAGACATCTACCAGCTTTGTGACTTTGGGAAAATTACTTAATCCCCCTGTACCTCAGCTTCCACATCTGTAAAATGGGGATACAAATACTTCCCATCCCATAAGGTTCTATGATTGCCAAATGACCAGCTACATATGAAAGGCTTAGAATGTTGACTGACATAAAGTCAGGGCTCTCTGATTAGCATTGACCTTTCAGAGCTGCACCTTTCTTAAATGTAAAATGAGAAAAAAATCATGCTTATCTCTCCCTGAAGGATTGTTAGATATAGCAAGTTACTGACCCACTGTAAGGTCTTAGTAAATGATAGAGAATTGTTATTGTGCATATACTGTTGTCACCTCAAATACAATGCTCCAGGGAAGGCCTGCGACAGTCCTTTTCCTTCTTAATTTCACTTAATAACAGAGTTATTAGGTAAAACGACCAACTATAGGGTCTTAATTTCATATGGTGACCAATACGTAGAAGGTGGTAGAAAATAGATGTTGGTTCAGTATAAAAAAGACATTTCTAACCTTTGTATGTGCCAAAGATGAAGTTAGCATATTGCCTGCAACCAAAGGCATGCAAACAGTACTTACTATGCTCATAATTAGTATTTCCACTATTTATACACCTTAGAGTTCTTTTCATCAAACCAGTATCAGAGACTTGAACCCCTTTCATAGCATCTCTATCATAGTGTATTGTATTGTGTCACATTAATGTTAACTCTCATATTATGTTGTAGTATATTATTGTAAGACGAACAGCAGCTGCCATTTATAAGTTCCTAGGTCAGGCCCTGTGCCAAGCATTTTCATGCATTATCTCATTTGTCCTCACAGCCACTCTATGGGATGGGTGCTGATCTCATCCTGTTTTATAAGCAGTAAAACTGAGGCTCAGCTGAGGCTCTGGAATTAGGTAACCACCTGATTATACTAATAATAATAGATGCAGATACAGGTTTGAACATGGGCAATGCTTCCTGGTGCACCCTGCTATGTTCTGAGTACTTACTAAGTGCTAGGCATTGTGCCAAGGACAGGATTTACTGGCATTACGTCTGACCTGTCTCAACAATCCCATGGTTGTCTGCCTCATTTTGCAGATGAGAAAATGAAGGCTGAGAGCATGCAGTCAGGCCTGATCTCAGTTTCCCAATCTGTAGAATACATCATCTACAAAGCTATACTCCCCTTGGCCTCTGGGCTCTTAACCTCAGCAGTGTCCCTCAAGCCCCCAACCTATCTGGCCACTATGTCCCACCTCATCACAGCCGGAGCACCGGGGCCGCAGACTCTCGCAGTAATGGCGGCCGCACCAGGGTGCACCATCCTTCCAGAAGTAGATGAGGTCCACTAGTGGCTCAGAGCACTTGGCACACACAAAGCAGGTGGGGTGCCACTGCTTGCTGTAGCCTGCCCTGTCCGAGTAGACCACAGGGCTGTCAGGAGGGGCCACTCCCTTGCAGAGCTCACAGACCTGGAAGGATAGGGAAGGACCACAGAAGACAAGAAGTCAGGAGAGCACAGTGACATGGGTTCAAATCCTAGCTCCAGCCTCTCTCATTCCTGGGTGACCTTGGGCAAGTCGCTATACCTCGCCATGCCTCAGTTTTGCCATCTGCAAAGTGGCACAATAATATTGCTTACCTAACAGGCTATTAATGAGGACTAAATCAAGTTATTTATTTAGCACAGTGATTCCCAAATTGTTTGGTCTCAGTACTCTTTATAGTCTTAAAAATTATCAAGACCCCACAGAGTTGTTTTTTTTTCATGTGGGTAACAGCTATTGATATTTGCCATAAGAGAAATTAAAACTGAGAACAATTTAAATATTTAGTTATTCATTTAAAAATGACAATAGTAAACCTGTAATACATTGACATACATATCTTGTTACTAAGATATCTATATCTTTCAAAACAAAAAAAAGTTAGTGAGAAGAAAAATTTAAGACACTGTTTTACATTTTTGCGAATCTCTTCAACGACTCGCGGAAAACTGTTGGATTCCCATAACGTCTTCTGCAGTCCATCGTTTGCATGATGTTATTTTGGTTGAAATATATGAAGAAAATCTGAATTCACACTGACATAAAGTTGGAAAAAGGAGGGAGGTGCATTTTAAAAGCACTTCCAGATGACTGTGGATATTCTTCTTTGATACTATGTTAAAATTTTATAGAGCATAGTTTCTCAAGTTAGTTGCAGTGTGAAATCTGAAAACATATCAGTGAACCTTTCATACTTGGTTACATTAAAACCTGTTTGTCCACCTTGCAATTTGAATGGATCTTTTACCCATGCATGAATATTTTTATTTATTTATATTTTTTCTCCTTTATTTTTAAATTTCAGTGGTTTTTGCATGAATATTTTAAAATAATATTTAATTAATAATATTTTTTGTTTAGCAGTGGTGGCTCATGCTTTTAATCCTAGAGCTTTGGGAACCTGAGGTAGGAGTATCATTTGAGGCCAGGAGTTTGAGACTAGCCTGGGCAACATAGCAAGATCCCTTGTCTACAGAAAAATTTAAAAATTAGCCATTTGTGGTGGTGCTTGTCTGTAGTCCCAGCTCCTCAGAAGGCTGAGGAGGGAGGACTGCTGGAGCCCAGGAGTTTGAGGCTGCAGTGAGCTATGATCATGCTACTGCTTTCAGCCTGGGTGACAGAGCAAGAGCTTGTCTCAAATAATATAATAATATATTTGAGTAGTAATAGAATTACAGAAAAATTGCAAAAATAATATAGAGAATTTCTACATACTCCACACTCAGTTTCTTGAGTTCTTAATATCTTACATTAATAAGGTATATTTGTCATAATTAATTAATCAATATTGATATGCTGTTATTAACTAAAGTCCAAACTTTATTCAGGTGTTCATAGACTTTACCTAATGTCCTTTTTCTATTCCAGGAGCCCACATTTAGTTGTCACGTCCCCTGAGGCTCCTCCTAACTGGGACAGTTTCTCAGACTTTGTTTTTGGCCACCGTGGCAGTTTTGAGGAGTACTGGTCAGGTGTTTTATAGAATGTTCCTCAGTTGGGATTTGCCTGATGTTACTATCATAATTACATTGGGTGGAAGATCACAGGGGCAAATTGCTCCTCTCATCACATCCTACCAAGGGTACATACCGTTGCACTCACTTGTTACTGTTGGGGTTGACCTTCTGGTGGAGGCAGTGTTTGTCAGATTCTCTACTGTAAAGTGACTCTTCTCCCCCTTTCCATAGTATCCTCTTTGGAAGCAAGGCACTAAGCCTCCATGTCTAAAGAATGCTCCATCTCCTCCAGGGCCAAGTATCTACCTAAGTTATTTGGGATCCATGCATGATTTTGGCAGATCCCCCAAAAGGACTCCATGCATCTTAGCTAACATTATTTTTTAAACACCTATGCAATTATCTAATTTATATCTGTCTTCTCCACTAAGTGGTTAGCTGCAGAGGGCAGGGAGAGGCTGCTCGGTTGCTGCTCTGACCCAGGACCTTCTACTGGGCCCTGCTCACATAACTTCCCCATGGAAAGTTGCTGAATGAAGGAATGCTCTACTCTGCCATGAGGCCTTTGCTTTTGTTGTTCAGGATGTCTGGTACATTGTTCCCATTCCAGCTTGCTTAACTCCCTTTCATTCTTCAGATCTCAGACTTAAAAATCTTCTGTTTGGGAAATCTTCTCTGACTTTCTTCCAGGGGCAATTGAGTCCATACTAAAGCTTCTCTGCTTACCTTTATCTGTATGGTTGTTTGATACATGTTCCTTCCACACTAGATGGAAGTACCTTCGAAGCAGGAGCCACATCCAAATTTGCTTGCTTTCACATTTCCCCAGTGCCTGGCACATACTAGATGAATAACAAATATTTGGAAACCTCTGCCCTGCAACCTCATACTTCCTACTTAGGGGACAACAGATGAGTATGGAGGATACTAGCAGATGATGCATCTGTCTACATCTCAGAGATAGGTTTAGACTAAGTGCAGCAGAGAGTTGGGCTCCAGAGCCAGTTTTGGAAAGTTCTTGGGAGCTTTCAGGGCACTCCTGCCTTTCAAGGGCTCATCCATGTTTACTGAGCATCTACTATGTAGCATGCCCTGGACTAGATGCTGGGGATACAGCAGTGACCCAGGCAGATAATGCCAGAGCCCCCAGGGAAACTGGGGCTGTGTGTGTGTATGAAGGTAAAAAATAAATATGTAAACAAATAGATGAGATGATCATGGAGTGTAATAAATACCAGGAAAACAATCACAGGGCAAGGGAATGGAGAGTGAGAGACTTTGGGGGTAGATGGTAGGGGCCATCTTAGCAGGAGAAGCCTCTCTGAGGGATGAGGGGCTAAGGGTCAACTACATTCCTATTTATAGCACAGCAACCTTGTGGGTAGGAGATGCAGGTACATAGCAAATGCAGCCATTTTATAGCTAAGACCAGTGAGGCCCAGGGAGGCACAATAGCTAGTTAAGGGACATAGTCATGAAACAGAACTGGGATTCAAACTTCAGCCTGTGACCCTATGGGGCTTTCTATGGAAACTGAGCTGGGTTGGGTGGGAAGACTAAAGTCAGGGAATTATCTGTAGGGCTAGGAGGGCTCCCAGGAGAATGCATTCTGGCATGGCAAAGGATCAGCATGCCCAACACCTAGAGGTGAGAAGCAGCTTCCCTACAGGGTCTCTCAGCCGTTATCTCATCCTGTTTCCATCTGGGGCTCCTTTATCTGTCTTTTACTGCCAGTAACATTTTCACTGGCCTGCTCAGAAACCATGACAAGGTGGACCTCAAGTCATGTTGTTCCTCAGCTTCAGTTAGAATTAGGGCTTCATGGGGAGGGTGAGTGTGCCTGGGAGAAGTTCTTGGCGAGAGCTCTAGATTTCTGTCTCATGCCAGTTCCCAGGAGCAGAGAAAGTTGCCAAATGTTCATTCATTCACTGGTTCATTCAGGTATTCATCCATCACACATTTATAACTTGCCTAGAACCTGACATTCTCAATCCACACAATCTTATGGGCCATTTTAGAGTTATTCCCTGCTCCTCTAAGCCCCGATGATGATGATGGAGATGACAATGACTGCCATGTCCATATGGCATGTCTGCATCCAGCACTGTGCTCAGGACTGTACTCTCATTACTATTACCCCTTACATAAACCCAAGAGAATTATTTCTCCTAGAGTTATTTTTCTATTAGAAAAAATTGTTATTTTTTTCTCCTAGAAATGGCAAAACTGAAGTTCAGGGAGATTCAGTGATTTGCTCAATAATGCACAGCTGACGGGAGGCAAAGCTAGGATTTGAACAGAGGCCAAACCTGACTCCAAAGCCAAAGCTGTTTCTACTCCATCATGTGGCCTTGAGATCCGGCGTCAGCAAGCTACAGCCGGTAGCCAGATCTGGCCACTGTCTGTTCTTGCAAGCCCCATGAGAATGAAGACTGGATTTTACATTTGCCCTCCAATTCAGTGAAATGTTTTCTCCCAAGAAAGAATTCTACTTTCCTCATTAGTAGACCTATTTTGGAAAAAAAAAACCCTGTGCTAAATTATTATTATTACATTTTGAATTTCACCAAAAAGAAAAAAAAAAAACATGGAAAGTTGTTTCCTCTCTTGTTACATAAAGTCTCCACATGATATCACAATTTTGGCTCTTGGCTCACATCTTCTAAAATATTTACCACCTGGCCCTCCACAGAAAGTGTTTGCTAACCCTGGCTTTAATGCTAATTTAAACTTACTAAGCATTAAATACGTTGCAGCCAAAATAGAAATATTTATTGATATGCCACGTGAAGATGGGGAAGCATATGAGTCTGCACACTTATATTCTTAACTTATATTCTTTGATTACATACTTAATTCACTCATATATTGAAGAGGAAATAAAAATTAAAATGGTGAAAATTAGGAAAAGAACACTGAATAACAAAGAATTCCAAGTACTGATAGTTTCTGAGCAGAGGCACTCCTGAATGACTGCCTATATAAGGAATGTGTTTGGTTAACTGGATGTATCTTGAATGGCACAGCCTAATAATGTTCCTTAGAACATGCTAGATTTGTGGTTTCAGTTATGCCTCCAAGAATGAAGAGTGTGAGTCGTTCACCCAAAGGAAAACTCTGTTCCTCTTCACATGACCGGTACCCAGCTGGCCTGGAGCCCATCAGGGGGTCTAGACAAAAAGCAGCGATCAATCATCATCTACTTATTTTCACCCTTCCTCCTGCATAGCTGGGAACTGTAAACTCTTTGACCAGGGCGGTCTGAGTTCAAAGTGAGTTTTCTGTCTGGCTTCTCAGTTCTACAGAATGAAATTTCCAGTCCTTTTCCTCCCACAAAAAAGGGACTTAATGTCAGTTCACCTAACTACTCCCCATTGGGTAACACCATATCAGTGGGGTTCCCCACTCCACATTTTCAAATATGAATTGAGATGAAAGTAGGGGAAGGGAGAGGGATAGAAATGTACC